TCCCTCTCGTTTTGACAAATTTGTGAGTCTTCATGTGCGTTCTGAGGAGGCCAAACCATTGACATGCAGAGTTCAGCCAAACCTAATACAGTCTGAAAACAAATGCTAGGGTTCGGCTGACCTCACATTGGACTTAATGGCTTGATAGCTTTGTATATATGGCTTCCGACAAATGAATTCACTTCTTTTTCATTTACCAACAACAAGAGGCCCAAATCCATTCAAGTCAAGTCCAAGTCATTTTTCTTCACATGGAAATTCTGAAGACATTTTCAATTTCATACACGGCACAGAAACCATACTAAAGACATTTGTGTAATATAAGCTGTGAGGAACTCTTTTGATGATCGCGACACGTCTGTGTTCCGCCCAGCCATACACAAACAATGTGCCTGCTTGTCTGTCTGCCTGCCATGCATCCTCAAAGGGACATGAAGTGTCTCATATACATTTGACACAAAGAACGGGTTATGTGACATAAACCAGATGGGCTCTTCAGTAGGAACCGATATTGTGGTTTCTCAAAGACCGCAGACTTGCTTGATCGCTCCACCCAGGGCCTGCTTGCTGGCAACTGGGAGGCGACTCACATTCATTCGTCTTCTCACAAGTTTGGGTGAAAAGCTTTTGGGAAGCTTTGTACGATTGATGATCCATGGCCAGGGGCTTAGCCCCTGAGTCTCACAAAGAAAGCATGAGCTCGGACGTAAACACGTAGGACAAATCGTATGGGCTGGGAACACCTGTGGCTCCACAATATTATTTACTCCAAAAATAGTTTTCCCTAAAAAATTTGTCTGGAATGTTCATAACTCTCAAATAAAATCTAAATATTCTTCAAAGAGCATATGCAAAAACAGTTTGATCTGAAAGGTTTTGGGTTCCATTGACATTAATAAAATTGACCTAAAATTCTTTACAAATTTTGCGTTTTGCACAAAAAAAAAAATCCATACAAATTTAAATTGACATGAAGGTGAGTAAATGCCATTATTTTTGGATTAACTATTCCTATAACACTCTCTCTTTTTATCTATAGATGTGACTATAAGAGTATCTTTTAAAATAAACTCATTCCACAGCCTGATCCTGGTATTTCTGGATGGTGCCATCCCGAGTGAAGAAAGGAGGGGCCGGTGGTTGACGAGCACCAGGGCGCCAGGCGAAAGCTTGTTAGACAAACTCTGACAACAAGACGCTGCCCTTGAAAATCAATTATAAACACAGCATCTGCATCTGTTTCTGCTCGCAGTTTTGTGGGTCTGTCTGTCTTGGATTTCGGTTTTATCCTCCCTCTCTTTGGGAAGCTTCTACGGCGGTTCAAACGGCCATCCTTGAAGGATTAGTGTGAGTTTTCAAACCCAAAGGGACAGAGTGTGTAAATCATGAACGGGTGAGCAAGAGTGATGACAGGTCATGGCACCCGCTGCTTATTGGGATGAGCAGTTTATGGGAGCAGTTGGGGTGTTTTTCATTGCATTTCATTGCATTTGCCCGGCCTTCTGTTCCCAAGAAGAAAGCAATCATAAAAAATGACTTTGATTGGTTAAAAAGGGGTGCAGACAAGTTTGCGCAGAGGAGTTATGGGTTAAGGTCCTCTAATGGCCCTTTAGGGCTCGGCTTACACAACCTGGGGCCCATGGTTACTCACAATTGTTTTAGCATGCCACCATTCTGTTCCACCAACAAATACCAAGTCCTGTGCTGACTAACAAAAAAGAGTAAGTTTAGTTCAAAACTACATAATCGAAATTTTAAAGTAGCCCAGGGAAGGCCTACCTAATTTCTATCTACAGTAATTGTTCACAAATCTTTCAAACTCGTATGACTATTTTTGAGTCGATGGAGGACAAAAGGAATACTTTGTGTTAATTCAAATATGATGCTTTAAGACATATCAAGTCTGACATAAGTGACATCAATTTTTTTCTTGTGCCTCATCATTGGTGTGACATATCTTGACATACTATACAGTATTTGTGTCAATGTGACTACTTTTCTATGTATGTAATGTATAGCCTATTTTATAATGGTTTATGCAGGGCCGTTATTGTTAGCTAAAACTGAAACTATTTAAAATAATATATATATATATATATATATATATATATATATATATATATATAGAGATATTTTTTATTTGTTTATTT